TTTGAAGAGTCAAGTCACCCTTAATGTGACTGGCACTAATCAAAGAGGTGGAGGATCTGGTAGAGGTCGTGGAAGAGGAAGAGGAGGTTCTGGTGGAAGAGGTCGTGGACTCGTGGTAACTTCAACCAAGGAGGAGGACGTGGTAACTCCAACCAAGGAAGAGGTGGAGGTAATACCAAACAAGGTAAATTTCCATTTCATTGCTACAATTGTGGCAAGTATGGGCACAAGATTGCAGATTGTTGGTATAAAGAGGACAACAATCGTGGAAATCAAGCAAACATTGCTGAAAATACTGCTGAAAAGTCTGGTGAGAGTTCTGAAACTTTACTTTTAGCCAGCGATAGTTTTTCTGCAGATAAGAACATATGGTTCTTGGATACTGGGTGTAGTAACCATATGTGTGGGAAGAAAGAATTGTTTTCTGAACTGGATGAATCAGTCCGGTCTGAAGTGACATTTGGCAATAAGTCAAAGGTGCCAATTTTGGGAAAAGGTAAAATCTCTATTCAGTTGAAGGATGGTACTCACAATTTTATATCTGATGTGTTCTATGTTCCTGAACTACACCAAAACTTGTTGAGTATGGGACAGTTGTCAGAAAAAGGATATAAGATGGATATTGCTCAGGGGTGTTGTACCATTGCAGATGCTAAAGGAGTTTTGATTGCAAAGGTAAATATGTCTCAAAATCGACTATTTCCTTTGAAAATTAAGCATACTCTCCTTGCTTGCTTTAATTCTGAAGTTTGTGATGATAATTGGTTATGGCATATGCGGTTTGGGCATTTTCATTTTTCTGGATTACACTATCTTGCGAGAAAGGAACTTGTTTCTGATTTACCTGTTGTGAATGTCCCTGATCGTATATGTGAGATTTGTGTGATTGGGAAGAAGCATAGAGATCCCTTTCCCGTGGGCAAGTCAAGAAGAGCCACAAAACAGTTGGAGATTATTCATTCAGACCTGTGTTCGTTGGAGGTTCCCTCACATGAAGGTTGTAAGTACTTTACTACTTTCATTGATGATTTCAGTAGAAAAACATGGGTTTACTTTCTGAAGCAAAAGTCTGAAGCATGTGATGTTTTCAAACAATTTAAGGCTTTTGTTGAGAAGCAAAGTGGTTATGAGATTAAAATCTTGAGAACTGATAGAGGTACAAAATATATTGCCTGTGATGATTTTCTGAAAGAAAAGGGTATTCAGCACCAAATGACAGCTAGATACACTCCACAACAAAACGGAGTGGCTGAGAGGAAAAATAGGTCAATCATGGATATGGTGAGGTGCATGTTGAAATCCAAGAATCTGCCTAAGCCTTTTTGGGCAGAAGCTGTTGCTTGTGCTGTCTATGTGTTGAATAGGTGTCCAACTAAAAGTGTCCGTGATAAGACACCCGAAGAAGCTTGGAGTGGGAGAAAACCCTCTATCAAATATCTCAAGGTTTTTGGATGTTTGGCATATGCACATGTGCCAGATCCATTGAGAAAGAAGTTGGATGATAAAGGTGAGAAGTGCATATTCATTGGTTATAGTGACGCTTCAAAGGCTTATAAACTATACAATCCTGAAACTAAAAGGGTTGTTATAAGTCGTGATGTCACTTTTGATGAATATGGTGCTTGGGATTGGTTAGCTAAAGATGAAAGTTCAGTTGTTATTCCTGCTGTTGAAAATATTGTTGAAGAGCAACCGATTCCAGATAATGTCCAGTGTCCTTCACAGCCAGAGTCGTCAGTTCGACGATCTCAGCGCGAGCGCCACTTACCAGCTCGCTTGCAAGATTATGTTTTGGGTCATGATAATGACCTGTCTGATGAAGAGATTGTTCAATTTGCTCTCTTTGCAGATTGTGATCCTTTAACTTTTGAGGAGGCTGCTACAAAAACTCATTGGCTTAGGGCGATGGATGAGGAGATACGTGCCATTGAGAAGAATGGTACCTGGGAGTTAACAGATTTACCTCCTGGGAAGAAGCCAATTGGAGTAAAGTGGGTTTACAGAACGAAATACAAGTCAGTATATCCAACTTGAAAACGAAGACATTTCTTAAATTGAAGAAGAAAATTGGGATGACCAATATATCCAACTTGGTTTAAAGGAGGCAATGTTATAATAATATTATTATTATAATTGTTAAACCAAGAGTTAATTAGTTTGTTAATTAAATTAAGTAGTGGGTGGTGTGTATGCAGTATGTGGCTTAGTGTATGTGGAGTACATGGAGCATACATTCCTAATTTTTAGCTTTATTATTATTTCTCCTTTACTATAAAAAGGCTGTGTATCAATCTTTTTCAAATATCAATCAAGTGAATTCAATTCTCCTTCTCTCTCTCTTCTCAAATATATATTATATATATATTATAGATATATTATATTATATTTAATATATATTATATTAAATATATTATATTTAATATATCTAACATATATATATATATATATATATATATATATATATATATATATATATATACACACACACATACATATATGTATATATTTATTAAAATGTCATATTTAATGCATGGGCAATGACTTTTATTTTTTTTTTTTTTTTCATTTGTTTCTTCTTTATTTTTTATTCCATTGTTCAAAACTATATGAGTCAAATGATAATGAGTATTGTAATTATTAAATGATTTGATTTCAATAGTAGAATAACAAAATAGACAAACAAACATGATTATGGGTATCAAAATCTATAGTAGGGTGCAAACATCCCCAACAAAACACCACATTAGTATATTATATGTTTACAAGTTATGGCAAAAAACCACAATAAAATGTATTAAAGGTGGTTTGGTTCAAACATAGAAATCAAAAAGATGATGAAAATCAAATACTTGATAATGATAATGAGTTTAAATAAGAGGAGTCACTTTGGTTTGTAATAAATAAGAATTGAGATCAAAATAATAAATAAATAATTATATAAAAATATATAATACAGATATACACACATACATATATGTGTGTATATATTAAAATCCCATATTTAATACATGGACAAGGATCTTTTAATTTTATTTATTTATTTTTTCATTTTCTCCCTTTTTTTATAATTTTGTTTATTCCATTGTTCAAAAGTAGGGTTTGGTACAAAAATTACTATGAGTGTGTTTGGTTCGCACATGTGAATCAGAATCGGGATGAGAATAAAATACATACTTGGTAATGGCAATGAGTTTTGGTGAAAGTATTTTGTATGTTTGGTACGTAGTAAGGTGAAATTGAAATGATTACCATATTGATGTTTGGTTATGTATGACCTTATAATGGGAATAATTACAGGGCGTTTGGTTGGATGGGGAATTATGTGGGAAAGGAATTGTAATTCCATGGGAGTTGAATTACTGGGAATAAAGTGGGAATTTAAATTCCAGTGTTTGGTTGACAGGAATAGAATTGGGAATTGAAAGGGAATAAGTAGTATAAAGTCAAAAATGTCCATTATTGTTGTTATACATTAATTTTAGGTTAAAAAAGAAAGGGATAATTTTGACTCATCACTATCTTTTTTTCCCAGGAATTAAAAACCCCAGGGGGGACATGAGATTTAATTCGATGAAAATGGGGGAATTGCAATTCCATGAAATTGCAATTCCCTCCAACCAAACTATGGAATTTAATGGCCTTTGGAATTAGGTGGGGATTAAGTGGGAAGGGAATTTTAAAATCCTTCAAACCAAACGCCCTGTAAAGGTTTTAAAAATACAAAAACAAAAAATCAAAGCAATTGATCATAATATAATGACATCCAAAACATCAATATGAAAAGAAAATCAAAACAAAATTCTGAGGGATGTAGTGAGCAGACAATAGATCGGGAGGTGATATATGAGGATGATAAGATTGAATGATACTCGTTTTTAATTAGGAAATGTGGTTTTTAATTAAATGAGTAATAAAATCTCATAGTTTTTTTTTTTTTTTTTTTGGAAAAAAAATCTCATTATTGTGTTTTAAAAGTTGTCGACAAAAAATAACTAAATTTTGATTTCATTCTTAGTGTGTAAACTGTAAACCCATCAACCAAACACCCCAGAGTGTGTTTCGTTCATGATTTTACACACCAGGAATGATAATCAAAATTATAGTTAGTGTTTGATTGGCAGCCTTTTAAAACACAATTATGCGATTGATTACGTACCCTTTCAATTAAAATCCACACTCCCTAATTAAAAACATATATCATTCAATCTTATTGGAAATCTAATTTTTATGTTTGGATTAGTACTTTAAGACTTTTGTTGTTTTGATTTTTTTTGTTTTTTGTGTGTGTGTTCATATTGGTGTTTTGGATGTTATTATATTATGATCAATTGCTTTAATTTTTTATTTTTGTTTTAAAAACTTTTATTACCATTATATGATCATACATAACCAAACATCAATAATTATTCCAATTCCACACTGCTACCAAACATGCAAAATACTTTCATCAAAACATATTACCATTACCAAGTATTTGATTCAATTCCAATTTGTGCGAACCAAATACACCCTAAGTATACTAACAAGTTACAACTTTATACTTGTTGTGAATTATACGTGCACAAATGTTTTATTTTCGAATTTGTAATTTTTTTTTTAAAAGTACACATTGATCCATATAAGCATTATTAAGACACCATATCTATATGTCATATTAACTATTATGCAGTATGATACATTTTTTTGTTAATATTTTAAATGAGTGGTCATAAAATTAAACTCCGTGAAACCTTTAATTTGTTTAAATAACTTTATCTTAAAATTTTAAAAATTAGATGATTTAATTACACCATTTATTAAACTTAAAAGTGAAATTTACATGGTCCAACAAAACACTTATATAAACAATAATTGTGATTTATTATGGTGGGGAAAAAGAAAGAATATTAAAAATATTTCTCATTTGCGTCAACGATTTTCCATTGAAACACTCCCAAACAAGAAAAGAAACCGTCCGTCCGCGGACGTGTAGTCAAACAAAGCCCCCCACCCCTGCCCGCCCACTTTGAGAAGTCGTCACGCTTTTCAACTTTCCTCCCTCCCTCCATTGCTGAATTGCCCTGCAATTTCCTTCTTCTTTTATCCCAATAATTTCCTTTGCTGCCTCATAGCTCATTTCTTCATCAAAACAAGCTTTACAAACTCCGTCTTTGGTCTGGGTTCTCATCGTTCTCTCGATTCGCCCATCGCAAGCTTCTGCAACAATGGTTGTCCTTAAAGAATTGTATCCTTCTTTTCCCCCTTGATTTGATAGACGTATAATTATGCCCTTTTTTTTGCACGTAAATATGTAGTATACCGGTTTTGCAATTGTTGAATTACGCGTTGTTTTTTTCTCAATTTTACCATTTCTGGATATCTGCAAACGATAAAACTTTGAAGAAATCGATAGAATTGATTTTTATTCCGTTAGCTGCTTCGTTTATTGCGGAGAAAATTTGGGATGATTAGTTCAATGTTGCGGTGGACCTGGGTTTTAAATTTTCGATCAAATATTTTTTATTTTATTTTAATTTTTTGCTTCATTGCAATGAACAATTAATATATTCTGTAAATGCAATTAAAATATTATGTATCTTTAATTTATTTATAGGTATATAATCTGTCAATTGCAGACACATAAATACATAATATGTTAACTTCATAAACATATAATCTGAATGTCATCATTCATCAAGGTGGACCCTGGTCCATGGTATAATTTGCCTGCAATTAACTGAGAAAAAAGGCTGGCTGGTTTGTTTTCTCCAGGCTCTATTTTATGTAGTAGTGTTATTTGTTGTTAATATAAATTAGCTGTGTTAGGTTTCTCAGAATTTTCCTTGACCTGTTTTCCTCTTTTGCTGGGACTTGATTGAAGTCGAATTGTCATGCCTTTGTCAATAGAAGAGGTAATGCAAGCTAAGCTAGCATTTTTCTAAGACCCAGTTTGATTTCTATTGATTTTGTTTGTCTGTATGTATGTTTGTATGTGTATATATGTTGTGACTAGTTTCTTTGCAATGGAAATGCAGTATCATATAGCTCAGATGTTTATGGTCATGAAAATGCAACAACAGAGTACCACAGGCAATGAAGGGGTGGAGATTCTGGAGAACAGACCGTTTGAGGATGACGATTTTGGGCAAGGCCAATACACGTCCAAAATTTATAGATTGCAGAGGTAATTTCATATGTAGTTGAGTTGAATATTTAGTTTGTTATGAATATGAGATAAAAAAGTTCTATTTTTTGAAGATTGATTTGAATGGGTGGTATGTGTTGCATTTTTATGTGTCTCTGTACAATTTAATGTGCAATGCAAAAGCTAGATTGTAAAAACTTCTTTGAGGGTTTCCGGTTGTACCATTTAGCTATTCTGATGGAGCCATTTTTATGGAATTTCTTTTTGATGTCCAAGCAGGACTTTTATATAAGTCAATTTGATCGTTTCTATGTGAAATTGGATAATGTGACTAAAGCTTTCTGACCATCTAACTTTAGAACTCAAGTTTTCAATTCGGTTTTCTGCAGCAAAGCTCCTACTTGGCTGACTAAACTTGCGCCCGAAGATGCACTGGTGATGCAAGAAGAAGCTTGGAATGCATATCCTATGTGCAAGTCAGGTTTATATTCTAACTTAGGAATATGCATACACGAGGAATGTTTATTTTCAGCTAGCTTCCAGTTTTCATTCTTAAACACTTCTAACGATTTTTTGGTTGTTGTATGGAACTCAACATCATGCAGTTATAAAGGTATTTTATGTTTTAACGTTTGTTTCTCATTCATGGGTATTTCTAGTTAAACAAGTATTGGGTTCTCAGCTGCTTGACTTTTTGCAGTGTCCATATTTCACAAGATTCCTTCTTACGATTGATACTATTCATAAAGCTGACAACGGCCAAACTGAAAATGTGAGTTTGAATTCAATGAACAATAATAGAGCATCACTGTTACCTTCTATTTCATGGTTGGATTAAAGCATACTTGAAGAATCTGTGATCCAAAAATCATTATTCTTTTGTTTTGTTGTTTTCGTAAGAGTATCAATGAAACTTTGAACAATGTAGGTGCATGGACTCAGTGAAGCACAACTTGCTGCCAGGGAGGTGGAAATTATTGATATTGCTTCAGCTGCAACTGACTATTGGAGTTACATAATTGGGAGAAACGACATTGATTTGTCCAAGTTCCAGTCAGCAAGAACTGGACGGGGACCTCTCTTAGAGGGGTGGAAGGTTTGTATCTCCTGTTAGAATTGCACGGCTACTTTTGTGCTCGTACTGAAGTGCTATTGAGTCCTACAGGGTACATGAACACAAGTGACATTTGACATATTTGCATACAATTTCCTTTGGATCTGAATCTAAAATGTGCCTTTAGCATCTTCCAGTGTCTTCTCTTTCCAAGATGATGGATTTCAAATCTTTGCATTGCCTCTTAAGTCATATATGTGTTTGAGTTTTATGAATATATCTTATAAGAAAAACTTGGTTTATGAATGGAAATAGATGCTAGCTGGCTTCCAAAGGAATGCTATTCATATTGGCATCCCGTTTCCTGTAATTTCTATTGGTTTCTGTAGTTCTATACTTCTATTAGGTGCTAATAAAGGACGAAGTATACTATGTCAAGCCTTACGGCATATTTCTTCCCAATAGAATCTGTTTTCTGCTTGTATAAGCTCTTGTTACGAGCAATATAAACTTTATAGGCTCTTTCAACATTACCTGCATAATGCACAGAGCGTTGCTACTAAATTGTGGAGTAATCTGCATGCTTGTTTGGATTGACAATTTTATATCCAAAGCATAAAGTCATATGAGATTACTTACTATAGGCATCCCTTGCAGGACAATTGTGTTCCAGTGATGACTGCTTATAAATTGGTGACAGTAGACGCTCCATACTGGGGCTTTGGAGGCAAACTTGAAAGAGCTCTGGTTGCAGTATGTATCTTCAACTATTAACAGTTTATAGATTTGAAACAGATTTAATGGCCTTGATGGAATGTAATTCGGTTAGAATGACAACTGTTTAAGCATTCAAGAACATTTGAATGACCCCCCTTCTTCTGAGAGTATTATTCGTATGGCAGCAATATGCCCGCAAGATCCATATGCCTAACATGCTTTTATTGATTGTTTGAGCCTTATGTTGGAATCAGTGACCAACGGTTTTTCCTTTCACAATGCTGAATGCTGATGCTATAATCATTCCTTCTTCCCCATAAACAAACAGAATGTGTAATTTCTTTCTCCTCTTTGGTGCAGGGTGAAGGGGCACTTTTCCTGGAAAGCCATCGGAATATTTTTGCTTGGATCGACGACTGGTATGGGCTGACAGTGGAGATGATGCGCGAGCTGGAGCAACAAAGCGACCGCTCTTTAAATAAGGTAAAGCAAACTATGTAGCATATAACTGGCTTTCAAAGTTTGGTAATTTGTAAAGAGCTTTACCACTTAAACATGGAACTGGGAAAACCTTGCCTTCTGAATTCTGATGTGGTTGAACCATTCTATCATGCAAACAGAAACTTGGCCGGTACCATTCAAATGACAAGTTGATGGCTCAAGAATAATGTCCTGTTGATGCTGAAAATCAACCACTGAATCCCATCTTCATAAAGATGAGGTAACCATCAGAATTTATCCTCACTTGAATCTATGAGGTGACTAATCATTGTTCTTGAAAACATATGGTGGATGAAAACCATCTGTGATAGTATAGCTTAGAATCAAGATTTTTAAAACCCAGAAGTGATTATTATTGTTGTATATATTATTGTAATTCATTACTTTAAGGCTAGCAATCGCCCATGAAAAAGCTGTACCATGGTGCAAATATCTACCTTTTTGTATAGGCTTTATACTGCAGATTTTCCCCTTTGCTAAAGTGTTTACTTTTATTGTACAACTTCATTGTAAAGTTTAAGGAAAAACATTTTTCTTTAAGTAAAATATATGTTTTGTTCATTACATCCTCTGTATTGCTCAGAATTGAGATTCTTGCGGCCACCCTAGTTAAATTGGTCTAATAATTGGCTTAATAACCACAAAATTTCAACTGTTTATTAGCTTTCTTAGTTTGAGTTGGTCAACTATGAGTAACCTTAATTGGTTTACTTCGTTGTGGTATTTTACCTACCTACTAAAATTACAAAACGGACACTTCACCAATTCACCCATTACTGATGCAAACTTTCTCGTAAATCAAAGAGCTGAGATTTCTCAGAGAAAATGGAAAGGGTGAAGTTCCTGAAGGCATTACAGAATCACTTGATATATATAAGTAAAAGAAAACCAGGAAATCATCTGCAAGATTTAGTGATTTACAGTCTTCAGAAGAAGGATAAAGGTTTTTCAAAAAAAAGAAGAAGGATAAGGCATATAGACATAGCTTTCATCTAAAAAGAGTTGAATAAGCAAATACATAATAATAATCCCACACATTTTGAGCAAACTCTTAAAACTGTATCCTGCTAGGGTGTTCCTTCTCCATCCTGGTTTCGCCATAAGACTCGTCGTTGTCCATGCGCTTGTTGTGCCTAAACGCTGCACAGGCCACGACATACATTATTACCAGGAAGATTAGGACGACAATGTTGATCACAGACACCTTCCTCCAGCTCTTTTTCAGGCTGCCCAGTACACCCGCTTTGCAAGAGTTGCAGTTGTAACAGAGTAGCTGTTGATCGTTGCTCCATCGAACACAGTCCTGGTCAGCTGCCGGTAATCCCCCGTCTGTGCTCCATAACGTCTCGTTCATGTAAACATAGTTACATGCCGTGGGGGGTTTGCAACATCCCGACTACACAAAATATTTTAAGCCCTCATTAGTAAAATGGCGCGATTCCAAAATTGTAATTATACAATCCGGAAAACATATAGATGTTGTCTAAATGGGAACGGCATCAGTACATAGACTTAAGCTTCGAAATTTTCCATAAAATCAAGAATTCAAGGTTGTCATTTTCTTCCTTAATATCTAAACAACTATTGAGGAAACTAAAGTTGATATCAAATGTTGGCATTTTGATATCAATTATTGGGGGGGGCCCCAATTATTGGAGCTCGTGGCTGTGCTAGGCTCCTACTTTTTCTCTGGCTCCTACAACCACTACCCATCTTTTCAAACCACACTAAAGTAAGGCTGTGAGGGAAGCAATTTGTTGCCTAAAGCAAGTTCCACGTTTGGAGGCGAGCAAGGTTAAGGCCATCGAGCCTAGTCTGCCCTAAGATAGAAGAACCACACGGCATTACCAAAATCAGATTACCAATTACGAACAAACGAGTCATATTAAATCAAGCTCTCTTGTGTAGGATAGGAAATGAAAACCAGATAATTTTCCAGAAAGAAGGCTCCTAAATTGGATAAACTAAGTAGCCACCTAATTGGATTTTTGTCCTCGACTCAGACAGACAGCTCGCCCAAAAAACTAGTATCCTGAGGACCCATCTGCCACTCTGCCAGGTTAATATGTAAATACTATATGCATTTCCTTATAGTTACAAGACAAAGAACCATTTGCGACAGAAGGGTAAAGGAATCAAGAATCTTGAAAGCTTGGTAAAACTCAACAGGGCTTGTAAATCCCAGATTTTTAAGTGAATGAATCATGACAGCCAATGAAAAACTAAGGCAAAACACCAAAGTAAGAAAGAATATTCCGTCCAAGTTCTCGAAAGGCCAAAAAAAATTCAACTTTATAAAAATCAGTATCTACTTTAAAATTTTGGACACATGATTTGTACTCCTTATTAAAGGACAACAAATAGTTGCCGCATTGTCTCCTCTTTAGACAATAATAACTTGACAACAAAAGATGATCATGACACCTTTTCTCATTTCGTATTTTTCCTCGTCCTTTGTTCTTTCCCCACGGCCCCCATAATCACACCAGAAAAATGTCATCTTTTGTTTTGTTTTGTTTTTTGCTTTTTTTTTTTTTTTGGGTTAATAACCCAACTTTACCTTCCCCAGACTATATTACAATCATTATTGTGTGGATTATATTATCAAATAATGTACATTTAGTATATTAAAAATGTACATTGTATTCAAGGAAAGTACATTATTTGAGAACGGAAAGTACATTATTTTGTATAATGTCCATTCAATACATGAATAATATACTTTTACTATAGTAAAAATGTACCTTTTATTATGGTCCACACAATACTGCGTAAACCATGGTCCACACAATAATTTGCCACCAAGAAAGAAAATCTAGTTAATCTAGCTTCAAGATTCAATACCAAATTGTATACTTTTCAGCACAAAGAGCCCAACCCAGACCCCCATTGTTCGTGGCAGGAATGAATGAATCCCACACTTTCGCTCTGGAAGCATAAAGAAAACTATTTTTTTTTTTTAAAAAAAAAAACCCCAAAAGTAAAGCTTTAAGCTTTTAAAGGCTCAATTTTTAGTTCTTTGCTCCTCAAGAACAGATCTGAAGGACCTCAAGCTGCATTCCCTGATCATATTTCAATCTTGGGTTCTAATAAATCAAGCATATTTCAACATAGAACTGATAGAACTAATCAAATGTAGTATCCATTTCGTGATAACATGGATTGGATTTAAATGTTTTTTTTACCAAAATTAAGGAAAAAAGAACATTGGGTCATACCTCAATAGGACTAAGGTGTCTGCGGTAAAACATATCTGCGGTTTCAGGGGCGCCATTAACGAACCTTCTCGTCTTCCCACAGACATGGGAGTCCCTGACGCAAGAACCGATCTTTGACCAGTAGCTCTGAGTGGTGACCCTCTCCTCCAGCCACCCGGAGTAATCCTGGAGATAATACTCCATGTAAGCCCGGTTCATGACGGGTCGACCCGACCCCTTATCCGTGACGGCATAGGCGAAGATGACGAAGCCAATAAGGGCGGCTATGATGAAGAACATAGCCCAGAGATAAAGGTACATGAGGAAGGTGTTTCTGTAGCAGGCGCCGGCGAAGCCGGCGAGGGAAACCACCATGATGGCCACCCCTATGACTATGATGGGCCACTGCAGAAACTTTATGCAGTCCGTACTGTTTGCTCTGCTGCTCAGCCATATCCCGCCGCCCAGTATCGGGATTGACGCCAGGAAGGTCAAGAAGTTCATCAGACCTATCAAATGGTTGCTGGTTCTCATGGCTTTTTGCCCTTGTTTTTAGTTTCTCACTGTTGCCGGAGGTGAAGACGGCGGCGGGTAGAGGCTGAGGGCGGTGAGGGTTGAAGGGAAAGGAGTGGGGACTGGGGAGAGAGAGGGGGAAGTGGGTTAATGGACAGGCGGTAATGCTGAGTGAGTGACAAGACTAGTGGTGACAAGGATGATATTATTAGTTTGAGACTGGGTATATGCATATAATGGAACCAATTTTTACTAAATTATTTGATGTGATTTTACTGTTTAATGATTAAATAAATAAATAATTTAACATAATAAAAATTATGAGATTTTTCACGATTTAAATTTGTGTAATAGCCTCTTAATCACACAAAAAATAAATCACATTAAAAATTCGTTAATGGATAAATACGCACAACAACCACCTGTAAGGCTCACCTGGTTGGTCCTTTGAGAACTCTTAGGTTGACAGGTCGGTTTGCTAAGACCACCGACCAGACGGAATCAAATCACTTATGACTAATTGTACCGCTTTTATTGAAAGGCTTCACGACGAGTAAAAGATGTTCTAGGATTACCTATGGGATCGCCCAGCGGGGCATTACTCGGTCGGTCCGCCTAGGGTCACCCTGTCAGCCTACAACGCGACCCACTTTGCAATTCGAAAGGTTTTGCTTACACTGCCAGTAAAGGAAGTCAATTTGCGCCTATAAGAGAGGCGGCTAACATCTTGTAGGGATGACAACCATGTTGTCTCGAACAGTCACCTACATGTAGCTGCGAGGCAATCGCTTGGCCGAGCCAACGAGAACACACCATGTCAAGCTACTTGCATGTGGAGCATTCAATACTTAGCTGACTTGTTTAGTATAAATGGGAGGGTCCTCTCCTCACATGTCATATTAACTACTTTGCGATATCATGTCACTCGTGATAAACACTACATTGTAATCTAGTTTACTTGTAATAGCATTTTACTTGTAATACAACATAGCCTCAATCCACTCATCAGTCGTCATTCGGTAGACCGACCGACTGACTGAGTGCCATCTTTATTTATTCGCAAGATACGTATCCCTAGCTTAGTCATAACCCCCCATCAAATTTACGCTATCACCCACAAACTCGACTAAAAAAAAAGTTAACAATAATCAAACTTATGATCTTTTGGTACTACTCACACAACTTAAATTTTATAATATTATTATTGACAATGTTACTTGCCCAAATTTTTTAGTGTCTTTTGCTAGCCCAACACATGCAAGTTAGTATTCATGAAAGATAAAAGAGATAGGAAAAAAATAAGACATAAATTGTATAATAAATAAGTAAATATTAAGATTTTGAGTTAATTCTATTTTTGGTCTTAGATTTATATGTGACATTTTACTTCTAGTCTTTTTTATTTTTTTTCTTTCAAAACATCCATTGTTCGTCCTAATATTATTGTGGTATGATCATTTTTTGTCCTCTGTCAACAAACCTATTTAAATGGTGTTAAATATGAGGGCATTTCAATCTACTTTGTTCATTGGAAGTCTCATTTCTGACCAATAAAGCCTATTTTAACGTCCAACGTTCGTTGGATGGAAATGGCGAGATTTCCAAGTGTGATTCTAAGTTTTTTTTTTCCAACTGTTGCGGAGACTCAAGTTGTGAAGACTTTGCTACAGTGGTGCGTATTGCTATTGAAGAAAACAGGGGATTCTAGTCATGAATTAGGTTTTTTTTTTTTTTTTTTTTTTTTAAACAAGAATAAAAATATAGTAGGTCAGCCCACTTTGTATAAAAAAGACTGAAATACAACAGATGATAAAAAATGATAATGCCATAATAATTTTAGGACTAACAAAGAATCTTATGAAAATGGACTAAAAGTGGAATGACATATAAATATAAGGCAAAAAATGAAATTAACTCTTTTTTTTTTTTTTTTTTTTTTAAGTTAAACTCAAATCTATTGCGGAGTACTTTTTAGCATTTTAGGTGTTGTACATATACAAGCTAGCAACCATGTGTTTATATTATGATATATGAAACAAAAATTATAGGGAAGAGTTGTGTTTTAAGTATGTTTTTATGTTGAAAGCTCATCAAAATTTATATATATATATATAAATATTTTAGGATTGTTTTCATTCATGGCAAAACTTTTTAGGTAGTGAGGCCGCCTCATGGATCCTTATTCGTGAGATGAGTCAAATTGGGTCAATATGAAAATATAATACTTATACTGAAGAATGTAATACTAATAAGAAATAAAATATTTGCTACTTATAAGGGAAAGTGTTAGAAAAATGGAGTGTTTGATGATAGGGAAGTGAGGAAATGAGATCTTCACGCGTGTAATCACTTTCCTATAAACTTTAAATCTCCCTTATATAAAGCAACAAGGTTCAAGATTTAATCTTATGAGATACAAGAAGATGATGAAATTCTTAAGTTGCCTTGTTTAAGAATTTCCGGTAGAAAATGTAGTGCTGTGAACTTTCTCAGTTTAATGCAAGTTTATTGCATGTCCTTTTTTAGACATTTCTCCAAATATTTATAGATGCAAATAAAGTAGTTTTGGAGAAGTTACACGGAAGTTATTGAAGTTCAAAAACTCAACTTCCATAAGATATATTTATCTGATATATCAGGCATGGGAAATATATAACTGAATATTATATATTTTCCTAAGATATGGACCTTCGTGGGTTCATGCACTGCATACAAAAAACAAAGTAAAAAATATATATATTATATATTTATTAACTCATTGCATGATAACATGCAAAATAAATAAATAAATAAATAATATATATTATATTAATACTTACATGCATGCAGCATACATTTAAAAACCAAGCGTTTGAATTCAACTTTCGTTAAATTCATGAGACCGAAAGGTTTAAACCATTTCATGCACTCATTCGTGTAAATCATTGTTCAAAGACGAATGCATGTGCTTAACCAACGAAATTAACAAAGGTTACATAATTTGTCAACGAAAGGAAAGAACCCGAATCCATCTTTTCATTAATAATCGAATTCAGCATCAATTCGTGATTAACGAATTGTGCATCAATTCTCGATTCGATATCACCGAATTGATTCGTTAAGAACCAATGATTCGTTAACACCAACGAATCATTAAGCTTCGGTTCCAATCGTACGTAACATTCATATTTCCCAATTTGATTTCTACCAAACTAAAATAATATTTATAACTCCACAACTCCAAATATTATTTAAGCTTTTCATGGTAATTCATCTGAACCATTAACTCTCATTGCTATATAAATTTCTAACAGAAAGTATAATACTTTTGAAGAAAAATATAATACTTTTACCGTTTGATGTCAAAGTATTATATTTCCCATCAAAAGTATTACATTTTCCTTACAAGTAATGTTGGCAAATGTTTGTTACTTATAAGAGAAAAATACAATACTTACGAGAAAAAAATGTAATACTTTAAAATCAAAATGTAAAAATATTACATTTTTCTTCAAAATATTACTTTGTTCATATAAGTAATAAACACTTTATTTTTATCAGTATTATATTTTTCAGTATAAATATTATATATTTAATATTATACTTTTTATTTTAACCCGATCCATCTGACGAACAAAAATACATAAGACCTTACACAAGTTTTGATAACTCTTTAGGAAATGGCTTCAAAAGCTAATTAATGCCGAAACAAATTTAAAGCAACCACTCACCAACCGTAAATCCGTAATATATGCTTTGGTATGTTTCACATGGATGACTGCTTGTGGCGTGTGCCCACCTTTCCGGCCTTAACCACTGCATCCTTATTTTCCGGTTTTTAAAGTAAAATAAAAAATGTTATCGTATGAAAAATATATGGACAAATATTATAACACAGTTAGGAGTACTCAAATTTTTTTTAAAAAAATGGAGCAGATTAAAGTGGGAATGCATGCTTCATTTTTAAAAAGTGTAAATTAATCTTATTTATCCATCTATATTGATTAAAGTTTGAAATTTAGAGAAAAAAAAAATTGTATCATTTTTGTAATTGTGGTGGTATATTTGAAATTGTTTGATAGTGCAATTAGGGATAATTAATAGTGTACCCATATGAGTGCACTATTATAGATTATGAGTGTAGTGTTAGATATTCTCGAATTGTAAGTTGTAACACCCCCAAATCTAGGCATAATTTTAAGCATTAAACTTAAGAGAGATAGATAGTAAAAGTTTAACTACATAGATAAATTGCAGAAGCTAATACCAAAGTCATGCGGATGTTCTGCCACATCTAGGTTACCACAATCCAAATGCACAGGCTAGTCTAATCCTCAACGTAAAAGTCATAGTGAAACAGAAAACTATTCTTAATCCGTTCAAAACATCATAATGCATCAAACGGGCTCACATGCCAAACAACTAGACTAAAAGAACTAGCTAAGGGTGGAGAGTAGACTCCAACTAGGGCGCTCTCTAAGACTGACTACTCCATACCTTAAAATAGTTTGAAACCATTGGCGATTATGCTAAGTAACCCCACTCCAATGTGTAAAGATACATTTACATATACATTTCATACTTCAAAAATAATTTTGAGACTTGGGAATACATAAGCATATCTCTAATCAACTCTAACTCAGTAAATCACAAGGAATGGAATCAAGACCAGACCATACAAGATATATACTCAACAATACCACATTATATACCACAAGGACATCAATAAGGATCAACTCAACGAGACAACGATAACGAATCAAGATTGATAGTAAGGATAGAGTAATCATAGTAATCAGGCATGGATCAATTCTCAAGGTAATCACATAATCAACAATAGTTTAGGGTTTCAAGTCCACAGAGGACACAATCAACAATCAAATACCGCGAAGTCAATCTCAATGACTCGATATCAAAGTGAATCAGTGTGGAGGGCTCAACAATCAATCTTTCCGCGGGGTCATAGACCCGATTCTTTCCGTGGGGTCAAATACCCGATTCATTATTTCCGCGGGGTCATAGACCCGATTCTTTCCGTGGGGTCATAGACCCGATTCTTTCAGCGGGGTCAAAGACTTGATTCAAAAGTAACCATCATCTTGAAAGAAGTCTCCACACTGTCTACCTTACCCGCTCAATCATCACAACAAGAGTTCAATACACAAGGAATCTTAAGAGAAAAAGCAAAGGAGTAGATTCCACAAGAAATGAAATCAACA